CTCTCTCCTTTCAGTGTCTAATGAGATGCCAGTACATTGCAAAAAGGAGGAAAAGGTCTCTCCAGCTCCAGAGACTCATCTGTCTCTGGGAAGGGAAGATTTCTCGTTACACTTTTAGATTACATCCAGCCATATCTTTAACAAATGATTCTGCTGCCTTGACTCTCTCATTTTTAAGGAAAATCTGTTATTTTACACCAGGTTTCCTGACTCAGCTGTGGTTTGTTTTCAATTGCCAATTTCACTGCAGGGATATGGGCCTGCATATCAAACAGTGAGAAGCCATTATAGCACAGTGCATTGTTTCATTGGCTCAGAGCTGTAACCAGCACAGCTCTAAGGCAACTCGGAGACAGCCCGTGAAGTCAACATCACCCCTTCATCCCCTCCCAAATATGGGACTCCTCCGGCCACTCTTTCACACAGGAGTTCTCTCACCTTTAATTTGGACAGTGGCTGTCCGGGATGAAGACAGTCCCTTTACATTGTGGGCTTCGCAGGAGAAAACTGCGCTTTGATTAATACCTGGAGATCGGCCAAGGAAAGAAAAACAAAGAGACACAAATGGCTATATAATCCTGCTTCAACCTCCAGCAGAATTTCAATTATGTTTGACATCCAACTCATACCATACATGCAACTGGACCTGAACTGGATGCAAGTGGATTTTTTTGTGTGCAATTAACATGTCATTTGCTTCGTATAAAATGAAGACCATGTGGGATTGTACAGGAGCCCCCCCACTGGTGTTTTACACAGAACACCAAAAGCAAGAGAAGCTGGAAGCAGGAGTGTGAAGCTGGGAGCTCTCTCCTCATGCCTGCTGTTTTGTTATTACTAACCTCAACCTCCTGCCCCTGCTTCCCTTTGATTGTTAGCTGCACTCACTGATTGGGAGTTTTGTGGGCAAGGCCTATGTTTACCCATGTGTTTACTCCCTGCCTATTGCAGCAGATACCTGATGCTCATCAAGAGCTCTGGGCACAACTGAAATCCAAAAATCTAATGCACTGCAAACAGGCTATGAATCTAGTTTAAGTCACAAGGAAACAGGGTTTGGTGCTTCCAGCCTAGAGACAGGTTGCCCCTTGCCCTTCACCCTGAATAGCCATACACAACAATGCAAAATGACTGTGAAGTGGACATGAAATGCTAGTGAAGCAGAACAGTACTGACACCCAGCTCGCATGGATATAAGTCACTAGATGATGGACAGGGCATGGCAGGGTCAGGCCTCTGCATCCCAAAGCATACTGCAGGACTGTTGTTGACAGACAACTCTGAGAAGACCAAGATGAGTGTTTCCAAATTAATCAGATTTGAGATGCACTGGCAAAGTCACCTGGAGAAGAAAATCCAGTACTTGCCATCACTGTGCTTTCCCCTAGCCTGCTCTATAAGGCTCTGTTCAAGACAGGCCAATGATTGAAATGGCAGCTGTGCTTGCAGGTTAGGTGGGAGATGCTTTCTTCAAGCTGTGTGCAGCGAGTAGCTTGCACTTTGCCTGCATTCACTGCATGTGACTCATCTTCAGGAGGACTGAAATTGACAGAGAATGAAAAGCAGGAGGGGTGGTGGAGAGGAGGTGGAAGAAAGGAGAGACTGCAGGGAATAAAAGAGCGAAGCATTTTAATATCTTCCATTTATCCCACCCAACCACTGAGAAAAGCATTCCAGCTGGCAACAGACCAGGCAGTATTGCTATTATTCAGAGTGCAGTAGTGGCCAGATTGTAGTAGGCAGAGAAACACATCATCTTTGCCCCAGAGAGGTTACAATAGACCTTGTGAACCCAGATTCCCCTCCTCCCCCCACCCAAATGCTTGCTTGGCAGCCCTGCTTTCCCAACACAGCAGTCTGCTCCCCACATCAGCCAGGGGCCAATTGTTTGTTTAGATCAAGACATTTGCTTTAGTTAGTTACCGCTTTAACAATTATTATTTTCTTTACTAATTCCATACTTTCTTCTACCAAACCAAGCTCATTCTCTCACCCTCTCTGCCCCCAAAATTTACCCTGTTCTAACAGGCCTAGGCACTGTGACCACTCATTATCAGGATATGCAGCTTCAAGCCCTGAAAGCTGTTTGCTGTTTCAAAGGCAAGACCAACAGGCAAAGCCCAGGGACTACTAGAATGGGATATGTTCTAAGTAACTGCTAGTTGAATTTCCAGTACAGAGGATTTATTTTCCTTAATCCTCCTCCTGGTTTGAAGAGGACAAGATAAACATGACAGATCATTCACTATTTTAGATCTAAGCACCTCTCTGCCTGGCAGGGGTTGAATCCCTAGAATGAGAGCACACCCCAGTTGGCCACCACCCCAGGACTCTGCGGAAGGATAGTAGGAACGGACTTTCCACTAGCTAACAACATTGTTTCTTAGGTCTAATGCTCAGAGCAATGTCAGCTTAGACCAGGAAAAGCTAGCCTCACGGAGCGTTTTCATATGTGCTTGGGGGGAAGGGCGTGCGTTAAATAGACCAGCTCTGAGAGCCGCTCTCATTAAAGCACCCAGAGCATCTCATATATCAATGTCCCCATGCTTCAAAATGGCGGTGGGCTCGCTTCACCTAAAGCTCATCGAACGAGTTTTAAAGTGCCCTCGGCGCCATTTTGGAGAACAGGGACCAAGGGCCGGACACAGGCATGGGTGAACTGGGCAGCCACCTGAGGTCCCAAAATGGTAATTTTTTCCATTGTCTGATTATTATTATTACTACCTCTGGTGAAGGGGAGGCCAATACTAAAAGTTCACCTGGGGCCGCCAGGAGTCTAGGTACAGTGCTGGCAGGGCTGTGAAGGCTGGCTACAGCATGCCAGTTAGCACACTCCAACAGACTAGATTAATCGAGCCTGCTCTGATGTGCTGTAATTACAGTGCATCAGAGCAGCCTCTCGGCATGTGTACAGACACCCTTGGCTCCCATATGTTTAGGGTATAGGAGGAAGAACAAATGCACCAAGATTCCAGTGCAGACAACGAGGAAGTGATTTACAGCACAAAATGTAAATTGTTCTCAGTGCTATGTCCTTACATCAGGATAAAAAAAGGTGGGGTTTTACCATATATCAGCTGTTCTACTGTAATTGCCTGTGTACACGCCCTTATCACAAGGCAAGTAGCAGCTTACTCACAGCAACTTAGCATTACAGAGCTCTATTAGCTCTACCAAGGATAAAAAAATACCTCTGTTTGGCTTTGATTTACCACAGTATAAGATTGTGCATATGGGCAATTGTGTGGAGCATTTGACATGCAATAAAGCCCCCATCTACTTTTCCCTCACAGCACCCTTAGTGCCATGATGACTAACCAGCCTTCTTCTGTGGCCCTGTGTCATTTCCCCTACAAAACCAATTCTCTGAGAAGTCATGACATCAGGATAGTGGGTGAAGAGAGACTGCTTCCTGGGCATCTTTCCCCTCCTGATAGTGTATCACTCCTGTTTCCACTTTGACTGACAGATTATATCATACCAGAGCAACTTGAACTTCCTTCTTGTAACAATTGAAAGTAGCTCCACAAAAGAGAGAGCGGATGACAAAACCACCACAAACTGCAACCTGAATTTCGATTTACATATTAAGTCTTCCCATTGAACCTAATTTATATGATTGGAAGGCTCAAGGGATGGTCAGAGACGCACAGAACCAAATTTACTGTTAGTGTAACCATATTAACTTTAATGAAGATGAATTTGGCACATAAAGCCTTTTGTCTCTAAATTGCCAATTCAGATTTGGCCCAGGGGTGAACACATCATAAAACATTATCACCCAATGGTCGTCTGGTTGCCAACTGGAAAGAAGCAGACAGCTACAGAATAGGTTCTAGGGGTCAGACAGTCACATTCCAGTTACCCTTCCTTTGTTGGCAGTCTCAGCAGAAAGGCCAAATTACCTATTCATTTGACTTGTCCCCTTCTGGCTCAGAGCTGATACACACTGATGGGAAAGGTTGCACTCCTGCCATCTGCCTTGTGCCTGCTCTGGGGCAGAGACAGGACTCTGCTCTCCAAGGCTGTCAATTTGTCACCTTCCACAATAATGCATTCACACCATTTTAATTGTGAGATTAATTGTGCAGGTGTCCAACATGGCTGCAGGGGACAGGGAAAGCACAGCATCCACCGGGGTTCCCAATGGAGCAGGCCACAGGTTTCAGTAGGAATGTAGGCAAGAAAAAATGGTCTGGCTGCAGGGAATGATAGCGTGCAACATGATTGGAGATATTTGGACCCATAGACCAGATGTTATAGCAAAACAGTTTGCTAAAAACAAGAACATATATACTCCTTGCAGTGAAGTTAGAGTCCCTGACAGGTCATCTTCTAGTACCATGCTTACCACAGTACCCGCTACACCACTGTAAGCTCCATCTGGTTTGTGCCATGGAAAGTGTACTAGGGAACGATTACACCATTGAGTGGCCTCTGCTGTACAGACAAGACTTATTTGCATCACAGCTCAGCTGAGGCCTAATCTCATGTTACACATTTATCCAGTATCACTGCAGACTTTGCTGTGCGTTAACAAGAGAAATCTTTCCCCACTTTTCCTTTCTGCACTCTTTACACTGTAGGCAGTCTTACCTGACACATTCAGGATGGAAGGAGAGATGTCGGGAAGCCCCACTCTGGAGTCTCCCATCCACCAAACAATGGTTACTGGTTCAGGAGGGCCAACAGCAGCACAGGCCATGTGAAACGGGGCGTTGGGGGAAACAGATACATCCTGAGGCTCCACAGTAAAGTAGGGCACACCTAGAAAAGCAAACACCAAGCTACTGTATCTTCAGTCATTCTTTCTGCCTCTTTGTTAGCTTCCAATAACCTTTGTATGCAGCACTGACAAAGCACCCACCATCTGAGCACCTCTAAGCATTTTGCAAATACAAAGGTTCACATTTCCTAGAAGCCCACCAGGACATAATGACCCTAACTCCAACAGAGTAAACAGGAGTCAGGTACCTGAGGTGCTTTTGAAAGTCCCTTAGTAAATAGATTAAATAGCAAAATGCCCCAGTGAAGTGGATTTTTTTATGTTAATATTATCCACCCCCCTTTACAGAGAGAACTGGGGTCCAGAGAAGCTAGAACCAATATTCTTAGATGTACCAACTGTTTTTATTCCATTTTATTCCTGCTTCTAGGATTAAAAATTCAGTTCAATGACCACATTGAACCAGCAGTTTAACCTCACCCAAAGTCTGGAAAAGAATTAGCCAATGATGGCATGAAATAACGTATCGCTTGCAAGAACCAAGGACCTTTATTGTGCCCTTCCTCCAAAGCCTGAACTGACAGGCCTTACTGGCTTTGACGTCAAAGCCAGTAGTGTCAGGCAACCTCAGGATAATGGCGAGCATTGATTTTCCAAGGTGAGGATGCTTCACAGATACTGCTTTTGGCAACCCTAACATAGTCAATGGAAAGACTCCCATTGATTATGAGTTTTGGATCAGGCTCACACTGAGGAAAGGGCAACTTGATCATCTCAGTGTACTGTACCTGGAGCACTCTTATCTTAGTGGCTTATCACCACAGTATATCAAACTGCAATACAGCTGAGAAAGTGAGAGATGTGGTCTCTTGCATATCAAAGTCCCAAACCACTCAGGGCTTTTTATAAATCTAAAACAGACAACCCACTTCAACCAGTCACCTAAAGGCAATAGAGCTGACACATGCTTCTGGTGAGCTACATCACCTAAAGAAGGCTATTATAACCTGCTTGAACTTCAGTTTCTTGCCTTATTTAAAAGTGCAGTTCAATAAAGACCACCGCTCAGTACTCAAATCTTGGAGGGCCAAGCATCAATAGCAGGGGCAATATTTGCATCTAAAAGCAAATGACCCACTCTCCTGACCCAAAAATGGAAAAAGGACTCCGAAAACTGCTGCAGAACAATCACCTAAGAGTAGCTGTGGAGTCAATGATATTCCTGCTCTGGGAACTTGGATGCTGAAGTTATAGCACTTTAAGTCTGTCCTTTGCCATGTAGACAACTGGCCTTAATGACTGGGAGCTGCAGTTGTTAAACCCCTCGGAAAAATCAGAGTATTTATAGAGGTGACTAAGGGTATGAGCGTACAAACCATTTACCATGAGATAAAAGGATGCAGGGCTTTATCACACATCAGGTACTGCTTAGTAAGTACCTAAGTGCATGCTCTTACTCTGTGGTAGATGAAAGCTAAACTATGGTACTTTGCCTTGCTTTCACAGGCTAAGCTGCGACAGTTTAGCTTCCACTTTGGAACGTGTACACAGGCAGTTCCATGAAGCATGTGATATGGTAAATTCCATCCACTGTCCCCTCCCCCTCCTTTTAAACTCATGGCAAGTTGTTTGTGTGCTTATACCCTGAAAATGTTAGATGCCTAACATTTCACCACTCAAGTTTAAAATTTTGGTTCCCAATCCTTCTTTTCTATCCATCAAGCAACTCTCCTCATGTCTTGCTTACCTGCTTTCACACTGTCCTTTCTGGAGTGACAGGAGCAGGAATAAACGTTTCATTAAAAATAGGTCATCTAAGTTAGTGTTTTCATTTGTGAGGAGGAGGAAGGAAAGAAAGGGCTTAACTGTGCTGTTTAGTGTGCGTAGTGGGAGTGCCCATCAGCACACTTTATCTTCTCCTTTATCGTAGGCATAACTAAAGAAGAGCGAGGTCAGCAGCTGAGTAAACCTCGCAGCCTGCAGCCAGGGTCACTCCTATGCCCCTTTGCCTTACTTCTGTTGGAAGTTAGATTACAATGCAGTGACGTGCCTGTCCTCTGCATGAACAGAGTCCCTCCCTACTGCCATTTTTCCATGGGACTCCAGGTAACTCTAATGCCCTGCACAGGTTCTTGAGGGGAGTCCTTCAGGATTCTCCAGGTTTTCCCACTTTTGCAGAGATTATTGCAGTTGAGAAAAAACAGGTAATTAAAAAGAACCAAACTTACACTAACACTAGCGTCAAGCTGCCTACCTATCTTGCGATATAGAGCCTATCACCACACTGGCCAAATGCCAGAGCCTGTAATGGATTTATCCTTACAACACCTTGATGAGGTAGTCTTAGCTTCCCCATATCATGTATGGGGAAAACGGGGACCAGAATAGTTAAATGACTTGCCCACGGTCGCACAGAAAAATTGGTAGCAAAGCAAGGAATTGAACTTTGATCTTTCCAGCCCCAAGCTGGCAGCCAAACTACTGGGCCAACCTTCTTCCATAGCTTGGCCTGTAGATAGGGTTAACTCAATGGAAAAGTCTTCCAGATACAACAGTTACTTATTTTGTGAACACATCAGAGGCCAGTGCTACTATCTGTATTACAGTCACATTGTGAGATGAGTCATTTCAAGGAGAGAAAGTTCTAGAGGAAACTTAACCCTTCTTTTTGAAGGAGCCACACTGACCACAGTGAACCTATTGTGTTACCTCTCCAGGTATCAAATACTGTCATGTTTTATGTAAGACAGACTTCTATATTCGAAATAGGAGCCAGTTTCAAAGCTGTTTTTCTAAGTTTTGAAGAAAGTCTCTCATAAGGCCAAACACTCTAGCTTGAGTATAGGAAACAACACACATACGCACAGTATTTTTCTGAGAAAAGATTACGTTATTTCACCTTGAATTTTAGATGGGAAAAAAAATCAATTGATCAATCACAGGAATGCATTCAAATTTGTCTCAACAACATAATCTCTGTTTGCATAGTAGTTCATACTGAAGGATGCTAGAGCTAAATGAAGATTGTATATTTAAGGCTCAGCACCCCCCCCGCCAAACATATCAATGCAGTCACCTCTGGAGTAGAACATGACAGCCACTGAACACTGAAAAACTACAGAGGAAAAACTAGGGGACAAAATGCATCCCTATTCTTGTGAAAACCTCTGTGACCACTTTTGTCAACTATGAATGACTAGAATCTTGGTTTAAAAATTTCCATCCAAAACAATAGCACTTCCAACATCAGTACCCCAGAATGCTGGGACCCCAGCCCAAAAAGAAGAATGCTGCCTATTGAATCAACAATAGTTTTGACTGCAAATGGGCTGCTCCTGCAGATTTCCCATCTAAATACTGAGCAACCCTATTACTTTCCACTTGCAAGACATAATAAGATCACAGCCACAGAAGGCTGCAGGCTGTAAAGAGCCCCCAATCTGGCTAGGATACAAATGTGCAGAAGCTGTCTCTTTACCAGGCCACTTTGTTGTGTAACACACATCCAAGATTAAAAACTCAGGTTGAGGAGACTCTGCTGCAGTCAAAAAACACTGTTACTTGAAGCAATACCACTTATGGAAATTCCAAAGCTAAATGCTTCCCCTAGGACTAAAACACTGATGCTAACACTGTAGACTGTGGATGAGCAATGATCCATGGAGCTCTTCCAGGTGATCTGCAGAATGAGCCAGCTGAAGACCCAAGTAGCAAGGGAGGAAGGGAAGGTATATTCATGAGGCCAGGAAGGGGAGGTATGCTCATGAGAGGATCTTTCACTCACTTTGTGCTCTACAGATTTAAAAAATGAGAAACCATAAACCAACACATCCTCTCTTAGTTCATCTGTTACCACTCTCACTTCCTACTCCTGCTCCATAGTTAGCCCTTTGTGGTAGCTTATATTTACTGTGACTGTCCGCTGCTGTGAAAAACTGTAGCAAATCTTCTCTCACCACTTCTTGACAACAGCGGATTAATGTCCCCAACACAAGACAAAATCCTGAGAGGAAGCCAACGCTATTCCTCCTTACCTTCCACTATGAGCCACACTTGCTGCGATTCTTCCTTCTTCCCCCTGTACTCAACCTGGCACCAGTACTTCCCAGAATCTGTCCGTTCGACGGATTTCAAGCTGAAACGAGTCAAAAACCACATTGATATTTTACATTATTAAAGCACCTGTCATCCCTCACACTTGGCAAACCACATATGCACACTGCACCACTGATATGCAGCCAGCTCTGAGGAGGGCACTAGAACCAGCACAAAGCATGCAGCACAACAGTGGAGAGAAGAGACTCCTACTTCTTAGAAAGGTGTTTAAGGGTCTTACATCCCTACACAGAGCAGACAGGCCCTCATCTGAAATATCCACAGAGGAAAAAACAACATGGCACTTCATTCAACTACCTTGAAAACATAAAGAAGTTAAGAATGAACTGGCGACTCCAGGGACCCAAGCTTATCTGCAAGGATGGGTACTGGGACAACTAAACAATTCCTAGCCAGCAGCTCCAATCCATAAGCCTACAGAGAACACTGTGCTTTGCTTGGGCGATACGAGTTGTCCCCCACACGTTCGTATAACAACAGATGAGTCAGAACTGGATTGTATTATACTCAGCATTATTCTTACCCTAGGAATGCTCCTAGCTAACTGCTCTACTCATACCACAAAATGCACAGGGACAGAACCTCAACTAGTGACTTCAGTCATTTGCCGATTTTTGTCATTTGTGCCAAATTCTATCCTCAGAGAGTCAAGTGGTTGTCAAGAGAATTGCACCTCTGCCAGTGAAGGCACAACTGGAGCCTACTTGATATCAAACTAATGGACTTCAAATCCAGGGGAGAAATTCTGCTCCCTACTACTGTAAATTTGAGGTAACCACATTGATTTTAACACCATTCCCCCTAGATTTACACAGGTGTAACCAGGGGCAGAATCTGGCTCCAGGAATGAAGACTCCATAGTCTCCTGCACCAAGGACCCCAGTTGCAAACATCCTTTTATCATACAAATACAAAATGCAGCCTCGAGATGTTGTGGCCATGCATCTGCTGCCATGCAGGAAGATCCAATGCCTGCTTTTCTGATGGCATCAGTTGGTCTTGGGGATAGGGTGAATGTGCAGGGGTGGAAGAGAGGATGGGGAGCGTACTTGCTGAAATGCACAAAGTGCTCCTACTATGGCCTGATTTTCAGAGCTGTACCTTCAGATGAAGTCAGCTGTTCTGCCCATCCAGCCACATGCTCTTAAACAGAGTGATTGTAGGAAAAAGTCACAAAATGGCATGAGGTTGAAACAATCACTTCAGGAGAAGAAAGGAAACAGAAGGAAGATATGGCCACATCTAGATCCAGCATTCAGAATTGGTGCTGGAGGTGCAGAATTTTATTTTCAGTTGAGAAGGGTGAAAGGATGAGAAAGGACTCTGGAGATCAGGCCATGGGAATGACAGCGCATAAGGAAAACAGACAGGTCCCTCATCCAGGCAGGAGGATCCTAGGCCAACTGTTATGCGATGTAATGTATGAAGTGGATTATTGTACATGGATTTTTCTTATCCAAGTAGTGTTTACTGGAGTCTACATTAATCATAGGGACTCTTATAGACTGTTAGTGGAGACTCCAAGGCTTTTTGGATTAGTTTAGCTTGAGGAGAGGGGCCCCATCTTTGGGAAGGGGCAATTCTAGATTGAGTCTGGCAGTTCCAAATACTCACACTTAGGGCACACAGAGACAGAAAAAAAAAATCCATGTGTGAGACAGAGCTTGAGATCTTGCTTAAGACAGCAGTATTCCTAGAATAAATTAGAGTTCACCTTCTGCTGATGAAAAGGTATGGAGGACTGGCTCCAGAGGCAGTATTACGAGCCTCTGCAT